AGATTCTTATCCATGCATTTGTCTCCAGTAGGTTAGACTACTGCAATGGCCTGCTCACAGGTCTGTCCAAACAGGCTGTAAAACAGCTGCAGTACATTCAAAATGCAGCAGCTCGAGTCCTGACTAGAACCAGGAAGTACGACCACATTAGTCCAGTTCTCAGGTCCCTGCACTGGCTTCCTGTGGCTCAGAGAATAGACTTTAAAACAGCTCTGCTTGTGTACAAATCTCTCCATGGCCTCGCACCAAAATATATTAGTGACATGTTAGTCCCATATGAACCAGCCCGGACTCTGAGGAGCACAGGGACTGGACTCCTGTTAGTGCCCAGAGTCAGAACTAAACATGGGGATGCTGCTTTTCAGATTCATGCTGCTAAAATCTGGAACAATCTTCCTGAAGATGTGAGACAGGCCTCCTCTCTGACAATGTTTAAAACCAAGTTAAAAACGGTGCTGTTTAGCTGTGCATACAACTGAGGGATTTTATATTTTTATCTTTCGTTTTAATGTTCTGTGATTATTTATGATTTTAATGCTATCTTGTTCAGCACTTTGAGTTGCCTTGTGTATGAATTGTGCTATACAAATAAACTTGCCTTGCCTATCTATTATGTATTTCACAGACAATACTTTAAAATGAGAAGGAATCGCTTGGGGAAGGAGGACTGGATCCATGTTACATGGAAACCAGGGAACATTCCACACACACACCAGCAAGATCCTGTCAGCTGTGAAGTTTTTGTCATGCAGGTATCTAAAGAACAAGCTATAGTAGTAAATGACTGACATATCATGATCACTTGATATCCATTTTTATTAATGTCTTTGTAGCTGGTTAAAGTTTTGGCAATGTCGTTCCCTCATATCCCCAAGGGCATTCAAGTGGAGACAACCAAAAAAGCCATGGGAAATCTGAGAAAGGAGATGGCTGAGGAGATTCTCAGAATGAGTGGTGACAGCATTATAATTTTGAAACAATTATTGTATTTGTACTATTATTGCAATTAACTTTTTATTGTATTTGCTATGAACAGTGTCAAACTTCTGTTCGCTGTGTGGGCTCCAAAACTCAGCAACTGGAGTTACTTGGGTAAGAGCATTATTTTCTTGTTTTAAATTTTTTAAGAGGAGTGTTAAATGACCAACATTAATATTCATGCAGATTCAGTGTGACAATTGCCAGGGATGGTTCCACATTGAGTGCGTAGCAATGGCCCAAGAGGACATCCCGGACCAAAAAATGGAATGGAAGTGTCAGTGGTGTTGAAGCTGATTCCACAAAGCTGGATGTGGTCCAGTTCCACTGCTACAGAGATAAAACAATTTTCTACTTTAACAGGCATTACATTTCATTATTTTATGAGTAATATAATTACACATAGTATATACAATTATCAAATATCACATACCATTGTGCAATTCACACATCGCTGCTCTCTTATCACATTCTGGAGAACTTGGTGAGCACGCCCCCCTTTTTGAACAAAAGCTATTGAAGATTGATATTTAATCATAAAAAATATAACAAAGAGATAATTGCTGAAAACAAAGATTGTAGTAGTTAGATAAGTTATGTCAGGATGGCACTTATGAAGATGTTGGAGGGACAAAGTTGAACAAAGGCAGCTTCCAGTGAGGACCCAGGTGCAGGTTTATTTACATTGGACAGCATGTCATGCAACACTCTTTCTGTTTAGAGGGGGGGCTGCAGCCTGACAGCGATAATTAAAGCAGGGATTTTACACTCTTTTTATTATTATTATTTGATTATTACACACCCCCACATAACAAAAATATATATTTATATTACATTTACAAATGATTTATTTCTTCTAAAACTATACTAAATTGGAAAGATAAAATCCAGGAAACCCCTCCCCTCTCAGCAGAGTGGAGGCACCCGGAATCCTCTTTAGGTGCTCCGGCTCCCCGGGGACTTGCTTGGCCGGAACACCTAAAGAGGGCAGACAAGAGAGAAAAAGATAAGTATATTTAAATGTTGTACATTTATTGAATTACCTTCACTTACACTCTTTTCCTTTACAGATCTGCACCTTCACATACAAATCATTCTTTAATAAATATTTTAAAACATTACAGTCTGTCTAATTTACACTCCTGGTAAAGGTCTCTTCTCCATTTATAAAAAAGCTATTGAAGATTCAATCATAAAAAATATAAAAAAGATATTTCTGCTGAAAGCAAAGGTTGTAGTAGTTAGATATGTCAGTTATTGATTATACCTGAATATTTCGTGACCACGCCCCTTTTAGAAAAAGAGTTATTCAAAATTCATACTCATATCTAATCATAAAAAATATAAAAAAGATATTTCTTCTGAAAACAAAGGTTGTAGTAGTTAGGCATGTTAGTTATTGAACATACCTGAGAATTTGGTGACCACGCCCCTTTTTGAAAAAAAGCTATTCAAAATTCATATTAATATTAAATCCTATTTATTCATAAAAAATACAAAAAAGAAACAAATGCTGAAAACAAAGGTTGTAGTAGTTAGATATGGTAGCTATTTATAGTATTTGAGAGTTTAGTGCGTGTACTTGGCTTAAAATAAAAACTATTGTTCGTTTACACAGCTGGTATTGGTATTTGTTGACGCTCCCTAAGTGCTTTTCCCGGCACTTGCGGCGCATTGGATTCAATGGATTTCTCTGCCTTAAAACAGCGTATTGGATTTGAAAAATCGATGTTGTAGTAGTTAGCCCATGTAGAGGTGATCATTTTGTCACAATTACTTTCGTTTAACAACGTAGCTTTCGTAAGATATTCACAGCGGAAGTCCGAATCTGTGAATATCAAGCTAACTTTACCGAACTACTCATTAACATGTCACAAACTTTATCTATCACTAGGGCGAGACTTCCTGCCACACCTTAACACACCTTAGATGTGTTCATGAGCTAGCCTCAAGATTAGGGTGTGGCTAACCACACCCACAAGTTATAAATCTCCAACGCACGGTCAGAGATTTCATACCCTTGAAAAAGTTCTTTGGATCAAGGAAAAAACGTCGGGAAAACCTGTTAAGAAGTACAGATGGGTGAGAAACCTTCCTTTGCTTCAATTAAGAGACTGTAAATATAAACTGAGAGGGCAAATGAACTTCAGAAAACAGCGTGTTCGTACAACCCTAAAGAGCTGTATGTTCATCACATGGACTGACCTCAACATGGACTTGAAAAGTATCATTACATTTCCAAACTTTAAAAAGATTATATTAAGTGTCCTTAACAAATATGCCATTGAAGAAGGATCAAAGTATTGCACTGGAAAATAACTGGTACTTCTGAAATGTCTGTATTTGTTATGAATAACTTATTCTGTATTATTCTGACTCAGGAAATTCTTAAATGTATTAATGCACTTCTCTAACTCCTGTACTTCTGAAATGTATTTGTATTACATAATTAATATCTGTAGTGTGTAATTTAATTATGCAATGAAGGGGTAGGCATTTGTCTTTTTTACTTCTGCTTTTGAGCTCTATATAGCACGTCAGAAAAACATTGTCTTTTTGTTGTATCAAATGTAAAAATGTATCAAATTTGTTGTATCAAATTTTCCATTCTCTGAGAGAATGGAAAATAAAATTAAGGAACCATATTTAATATTGATGTCTAATAGTCTGTTGTTTCTGGCAGAAGGAGCTAATGTGTTTGAGAGAAAAGCAGCTGGTGTGGTGCACTTGAGTTAGTCATCAGGGATACTCTGCTCACTCCCACACACTCTTTATATTGACATTCTGTTCAAAAACAAAGTACCATCAAGATGAAAAGGAGGAAGTGTAACATCAGTACAGACTGTATGGAAACTGCATCTGCAACCTTCACTATAAATGAACAAATATCTGCAAATATGAAATGCTAAACAATAATACACAGTATAACCCGGGGATGAGCTTTTAACATGGTTTTATGTTTTATCATAAACTGACATTCTGGACGGGAAATTAGGAGGGACCCTCTGAGTAACTTAAACCACATCGCACCGCAACCTCAACAGAGCACAATTATTGATGACTCAGAGTCCCATAATGTAAATGTGATCGTTGCGTCTCTATGTGACACCAGAGTGACAGATGTCACAACAACAATCCGCTGTCACAGTAAAGGATTCAAAACACTTCAGTCACAGCGTCTTTGGAGATTGAGCAGAAATGGGAAACCTAAAGTTGGCAATAAAAAGCATTTTAAACTGCTTAGAAAATCTGGTGACAAAGAAAAATATAATAATAAAGTATGAAATGTCAGAATAGAGTAAATTAAATAAAACCAGTGATCAATAAAGGACATATTTGACAATTAGTTCTCAACACGATTTATGAAACAAGATGTCAATTGTTTTGGAATTTACAGGCAATTGAGATTATATTTACAAGAGATTTAGTCCATTTCAGACCAGACCCTGATAAAAGGCACGTTATGTAAGCATCTATAATCCCAGCCATAAAACGAAAAGAAAAAGAAAAGATTTGCCTTGGAGCAAATGTGTTTCCTGGTAAGAGTGCTCTGTGCTTATCCAGTAGAAGTGATTGTGTGTAGACTCTTACACAACAATGAACAGAGTAAGGAAATAGTTCAACCAATTTACTAATGTATACATCTTTATAAGGAAATAATTATATCAAGCCATTAATAATGTATCAAAGTCTTTACATGTATGTTTGCTGTCATCTGTTAGCAAACCGGAAACACCAAAAACATTGAAGAAGGCCGCTTTAATTGAGTAAAGTCCTTTTCACTTTGAGCACTTGCAACTACATTGTGATCCAGTCACGATGGATATTGGTACTTTAGTGTTGCATGTAAAAATACTAAAACCTTCAACCCAGAAATGACGAACATTGATTATGCAGAAATTACGTCTTCATAAAGTTCTTTTCTGAAGCAGTTGCCGTTTGGTTTACAAACTTTACGGTCTTTCACACTTAGGCGATGTCCAGTAGAGTCATCTGGTTTTCGCAGACACGTCCAGGTTAGTCTATAAACTCTTGATGCCCTGAAATCCACAGAAGTTCCAGCGTTTCTCTAAACTGGCTCCGACTCCGGTCAGCTCTTGTCTGAAGGTGCAGGGCAGGCGAGAGAGGAGCAGCTCCACTTCACTGGTGCCGATCTGGAAAAACGGCCACAAAACATGGTTAGATGGAACTCAATTTCATTTGGCTGTCATCTATGTACCTGAATACATTTTCCTGAAATTTCCTTCATTATTGTGATATTTTTAGTAACATTCATTAAAGCAATCTTTGTCTGTTGTTCCCTGTAGGCCTTAGTGCAGGACTTTGGGCTAGTGTTCTGTACACATAAACGGAACAATTTAAAAGGTCCCATATTACGCTTTTTGACTTTTCTCTGTTTTAAACATGATTAAAGTGCTATTTGGCCTCATACACATGCCCAAAGAAGTGTTTTCATTGATTCCGTCAATCTTAAGTTAGAGAGCGATCTTTCTCCTTCATTCTCGAGAGGCACAGAAACGAGCTGATTCAAATCGTGACGTGGCACAATCCATGAAGTCAAAAGCGTCACTGATTGACAGCAGGGAGAAACTGAACCAGCGAATTAGTGCCGTTTATGCCGTTTAGCCCATGCAGCCTCTCTCCGAGTCCAGCGTGTGGTCCATAGACAGTAAATAAGCATCTGTGCTTTTTTGAGTTAGCTTCATGTCAACTTGGAGAAAACGTGACCAGAGTATTTGGCCCAAAGACGGAGAATGGGGATCTGCCTCGTATCCGCGAGTCTGAAATCTGCGACGAAACTCTCAGATCTTTTTTTTTGAGTGACGGTGACACCACCAAAGACTGTTCCAGAACTATGGTTACCTTGAAACTGAACCTACTCAAAAGCTGATCTGGAAACCTGGTGTTATTTCCAACATAAAAGACGCTAACGGGAGCCTCACTGAGTACAATGCTAACTAACTCGCCGTATGTCACTGTGAACTAAATAATTAGGGTCTGATTCTGTATCGAGGACATAGGGCTCATGTGACGGGTTTATTCTCAGGTCTGAAATGACTGTAGCAGCAAAAGCTGTACAGTTAGCTCTTATTTACCTCTGAACTTGCTCTGAACTTGCTCTGAACTTAGCGTGATGCAACGTCACCTTGCGGGCGGGGGGAGGAGGGCTTACAGACAGAGGAGCACTGATCCAAGCGTTTCACATGAGCTGAGATCACCTCTGTGCACAAAATGGCTATACCTTGACGTGTTTTGAGCGTTGTATGGTGTATCACCCATATTACTATCAGAATCAGATTCATTGATCACACATGTGCATATGATGGACTGTGAAATATTAAGAAAAGCGAAATATGGCACCTTTAATTCAAAACGTTCAAGTTGCCAAATATTATTTCCCCCTGAAACTAATGTTTACATATACCTGTATTACATATATAATAAAAAATATATTCTTGTACCGTGTGCAATAGAACAAACAAGACCAAACCAAGACTGAAATGGTTGTGAATGTTGTACGAACAAATACATTTCTTTCTAACTTTCTTTTCTAGCATTACGTTTGAAAAGGAATCGTATTTAATATTTTGATGGATTTACGGTACTTGTGTATCAACGCCTCATGGCCTTTCTGATCAAAGTGTAAATTTCGATGTATTCTTTATTTCAGAAAGAATGTACGGTGGCTCAGTGGTGAGTGCTTGTACTAGTTTGATTCCACTTCTAGGCCTTTCTACGTGGACTCTCTTCTTGTGTCTGCTTTGATTTACGATCTTATTTTCCTGGTTGATAGAGGACTTTCCCGGTTAAATAAAGGTTAGTGACATTTTTTTAATTAGATTGTACTTGACACCACATTGTTTTAATATTATGCAATGAAAGCAGAATGAGTGTCATGATTCTTTTCGTTTTTTCCAGTTTCTTTCCAGAATTCCAGCTGGTCTAATCCTCAGTTACATGTGTGTGCTCGTGCAGGTAACATACTGTCAACAAAGATGTAGATTGTAATTATAAGCGCACATATGGTCCCTTTAATTTGAAATATTTCACACTTTGCGATACGTACTTTTGTGATCTATTCTTGGAAACCGGAATGACCATTACTGTCAGTTTGGGCAGTTTAAGGATACGCTGAATGACGTTTTGAAAGGTTCTTGTAAAAGTGTCGAGGAGGTGCCATAATAAGAGTCTGAAATGGCCTCTCACAGAGATGGTGATGTCTGTGCGGCGTTTGAGAGTGGGATGGCGGGATCTTCTTCCAATATGATTTTATTGTCAGGGGAAATCACAAATGGCCCCATGCAGCCAGACAGATTTGGGTTCGAATAAGACATCTGGGCAGTAAATTCACCAAAACATCACACATTCTAAGAGCATCTGAAAAGCATTTTGAGAGGACACATTATGCAAATTGGGGGTTTTGAGAGCTATCATTACAACTATGTTATAATCGTTTATAGTTTTACACACTCAAAGTTGGTGATTTAAGGGTGTTTGAGGTATAAAGCTTTCAAACACAACTGGGCAGTGCTCATTACTAAGCTCAATCTTTAGAGAAATATGGGTTGAAATATGGACACCAAAGGCCTAGATTGAGTCAATATTGATGTTTTTTGAGAGTCTGGATGGTCCTGTTACCCGTTAAAAATAGTTTTATAAGTTGACTAGTCCCAATTTGTAGAATAAATCGTTTATTTGGTATGGACCAACATTACTTTTTTAAGTGATAGCTAGTCTTCCTGGGCAAACACAGACAATAAGAAATGCAAAAATACAAGAAACAAAAAAAATATTAATACCAAAAATAAAAAACAAATACAGGAGTTTTTGTCAGTTCATTCTTTAGACCAGCCTTTTTTGTGTGTAAATGATACATTCAAGACGGAACACCTCCAACAATCCCTGCTGTGACCACCTGATTCCCTGTGAGTTACTTTGGTTCATTGATTATATTTGTTAACCTTTCATAATCTGTGAATCTGATTAACTTGCCACTGTGATACGTGATTATGTTTGTGGTGTTGCTGCGTGAATGTGGCTTGTGCAAATCACTAATAATTAATTATTTTTAGATCAGTGCTTACAAAAACCTCACAATACTCCATGTGTGCGTTTACCTTGGAGTCCAAACGCTGCAGGTAGGAGCAGATGTACTCGAGGCTGGCTCCAAACGGGTGAACGTGCAGAAACGTGCAGATGATTCCTGCGTGGGAAAAAGAACACAAAAAAATGAATAAACGATGAAATAAAAACCATGGACTTCACAGAATGGACAGTTTTTTAAAAATTCACTCAAACAAGCCTGGAGCTGTTACTCTGACGTTAAACAAAGATACACAAGTTGTTTTAGAATAAATACTGCCACTGGCCGCTGTTTACTTTTCTCCTGTTTTTCAGAGCATGACAGAAACAAAATGCCTCTCGCTGTGTAACCGACAAACATTTCAGGGTTAGAAGAGGATCCAAGTAACATTTAGGCAAAACATGTGTAAATAAAGAAAAGACCGTTTTAGCAATTTTACTAAACCAATGTATGATGTCCAAACCTACAGAATTTGGTTTATATTTGGTACAATAACTGACAAAACAAGTTGTATATTTCAAGTAAGTAAGTAATCTTTATTTATATACCGCCTTTCACAGACCAGAGTCACAAAGCGGTTTACAATTGTTATTTTTTTGGGCATTTGTCCTCTCACTCCACACAGAGATGGGAGTGGGGTTTTGATTGATATCCGCAAAATATGTTTTCAACTCGAGGCTGTGAGGACATCAGCTTTTGGAAATGGGAAGAGAGTAATTACGCTAAGTTTAGACATTGTAAAAAATGATTGAGTTTCAGTCCAGCAGCAGAACCCCTGTATAACCTAAAGAACAAGAAAAATACTTTATTATAAAAAACACACACTTGCCAGCATGTTTAAAAAAGAAAACAAAATCGGATGAAAATTGTACATTGGGGTATTTCTTTGACTAGAATAAATACTAAAATAGCCTGAATATTTGTTTGCGTACATAACCTAGACTAGTTAAGACAACTAGTCTAAAGGCAAATTCATATAGGTTGAAATATGTCTCACCGACGAGCAGGGCCTCCCTCTCGGACTGCACAGGGCTCCCCAGGCTCCTCTCTGCCGGAGCCTCCTTCTCCTGACTGCAGCTCACCAACATGGTCGCCACTGCGGACGCTTCACACACTTCCTACAAGAGGGAGAAACAACCACTTTTACTTCATCTGGCATCAACAAAAGCCTGGAATGAATAATTTAGATAAAATGTAAACGACTAAAACGCATAAATTACTGTTGTTGTTTGCAAAAGTCCATTTCATTAGAATTTCTCAATGCCAAGTGTTTATTGTTTATGCACGGCATTCCAATTTCTGCTCAGCTGATAATGACTGAAAGGGTTTTTCAGTCAATATCCCTCTGCAAACATGCACTTATACCCGGAGTGCGTACAAACTGACTGGCTGTTTATACATGGTCACAACCCTTTTTTATCTGGAGATGAGGGACATACTGTAAATGCCAATGAACTAGAATTTGGGTTTGAGGGGAAACGCTGAACAAATATACAACTACTTAATAGTGGCTCAAATATGAATGTACTTCTTTCTCTAATTACTTTCTGAACCAGCATATCCCTTGATGACCTGTCGCTTGACGAGTGCAGACAGAACTTACACTGCTTTGATCAGCATCAGCGCTCTCCTCAGCGGCTGCTTCACCTCCATCACCTGCACTACCTCCATCTCTTCCCTCGTCTCCATCACCTCCTCCTCCTCCCTTGTGTGGCGTCCCCAGCTGTGGCACATTAGAACACATGAGGCAAAGTCACTGAGAAACAAGCTAACGGCTAATTTAAACAGACAAGAGAGGAGCGGCCCCAGCATGGTGTACACAAACAGACACGTTTATATTACGATATAATCACAAAGTAGATAGATTTGTTAATGTAGTTTTGAATAAGTCACAGTACACATTTTAAAAAGCTGCAACAAAAAAATAAAAAATATAAAGCTGCAAGCGCTGAAAAAATTGTGATACATCCGCCTTAGTAATTTCACATTTGACTAAAACCATAACAAATACTGTGAATTCTTAAGCGATGCCTTAGCACATTTCTGATTGGAAACCTGTTCTGTCAAATTATTGCCTCACTCTCTCAACTACAACATACAGATATAAAAAATGCCCTTATCACCCACCCCTATATATGGATTTTTAAGTCCTCATGGGAGACATACTTTTCAAAATAGCTTTACTGCCATGATAAATTCATGAAGTAAAGTAAAGGCCGATGAAGACGGATGACTGCGAGCGCTAAATCAATAACAATGACAAAACATCAGCTATCGCCAATCTCCAGGATAGGAACAAACATTGATTTCTTCTATATTTAATGATACTTCCTTTTATAAATGATATTGAGTCCTAGTTGGAAATTCATTAGGCCACACTGAAAATAAGGAACTACTTAAAATGACTGATTTATTTGCATATGTGAATTTAAAATATACTGAATGCATTTCTCTCTAGTTACAATAAGCTTCAGTTTGAAATAATAAACATGAATCATCTGAAAAGTGTGTGAAGAGAGGATTTGTGGGTGAATGATCAGTTTAATACGCTTGTCTTGGTGTACATTTCACATTGTGAGATAAATTACAGAAGTAAATGGACTTTTGAACGATAATCTAATTTTCCCAGTCTCATCTGTAAAGTGTCTGGTAAATGCTCTGACAGTGGCGTGTTCACATTAAACCAATAAAACAAGAGCTTGTGTATAAATAGATTCCATATGCATGTTGCCCTCAGCCTGCTCATCAGATTACTGTCTCCAGTTCACATACAAAAATAAGACATGTATCCGGCGTGCACAGTGACTGCTTCAAGGCCAAACAACAATCCTGTATTCACAAACTATAAAAACATAAATGAATGGGTAATCTTTATTCATATAGCGTCTTTCACAGACCAGAGTCACAAAGCACTTTACAATTGTTGCACAAATAACAAGTCCACTTTGGTAAAGTTACAGCTGTATTATGGACGGAGTTACAAAAGTATCGATTCCAGCAATGGATTGTAGAGGTCTGAAAACAAACCTGTCTCTCTTCTGTGCGTTGTAGACTCTGCAGATTTTGAAGACCTTCCTTCAGCGACTGCACTTCTTTCTTCATCCTCTGCTTTTCGTCCAAACTCTTCTCCAAATCCGACTGCCGTTGTTTGAGCTCCTCTTGCATTTTAATGAGTTGCTACAACAGCAAAAAGAATGTGTGTCACGTCACAATTATACATGCATTTAATTTGCCACGCTCAGAACTAATGTGAAAGAGTCCATGGCAAGGACAGAAGTCCGGATTCATTATTTTGTATTCTATATCCTGTGTATGCTGAATGTGCAGTATACATAATACCATCATAATACTCATGTCAAACTAGTTCGATAACAAAATGATAATTAAAGACACAGTATGTAGGTTGGTTTATGGCATGTGTTGCCAGTATATTTTCTGCATGTTGAGCGCAAAATGTTCTTACTTTTTATAATTAAAACAGAGCTTTAAGAATCACAAAGATGCAAAATGCCTTCACACACACAAGGCAAACAAAATGGTAGAAGAAATACATCTTCAATACAAATACATGTGGCTATCTCCCATTTGAATGTACCTGGTTTGTATAAAATGTGAACTTCTTGTCCTTATCTAATATTGATTCATTCTCACATTTGATCCAAGTGCTTAGTGTGGCCTTCCGGTGCTTGTATTTGTGAGGAGGAAGCTTTTGGCCTCTTGTCTGTCTGTGCTGCTTCCTCAGACTACTGAGCTGTGAATCGATATATCAAATCAAGAAAATGCATAATTGTTGTGTCTGTGTTCAAAATTAAATGTTTTGTTTCATATATAAATATATATAATGGGAGGGTGACAGTGGCTCAGTTGGTAGAGCATTGGCCTTTGGGCTAAAAGGTTGTGGGTTCAAGCCCACCATAAGACCTACTTCACAGCTCCCACTGATGACTGCTGTTGTTGTGTCCTTGGGCAAGACACTTAACTTTGCCTGAAGCCCCCGCTGAAAGATCAAGGCTCCTGTGGACTCACCACCTGCAGGAGGATCAGTGAGGTGTACTGGGTGCACCTCTGACTGCCACCCCTTGACCCAGAAATGGATTATGGGGAAGAAAATGAATGGATGGATGTTTCACATATGTCGTTAATGTACCATCTGCAGTTGTCACCAGCCTGATTCCAAAGATCTACCAGTTGATCTTTATGTTAATATGAAATATATAACATTTAATCCATTTAATATTTGTAAATACATCTATAATATTGTACATATATTCTATAGATGCATACATGTGGGCTAAAATAAATGTAAAATAATGTTTTATGGGAGTCACCACATCTAAGAAACTTAAGGCTAAATGTAATGTGTACCGTCTGCATGCCCTGGAGCGCCTGCTGGAGGAAGCTGAGCTGCTGTGAGTGAGTGGTTTCCTCCTCACTCCTCTGTGGCTGGTTCTGTTCTTGTTTGAGGAGCTCCACTTCGTTCATGTAGGCGTCCAGCTGACAGCGCAAAGAGTCATTTTCCTCCTTCAAGGCTTCGGCTTGAGACATGGCTGCAAATAGAAAAGTATGTTTGTAAGTATTAAATCATAAACAACACATAATGCAGATTAGTAGATTAACTGCTGCAGAACTACTACATTTTATCTTTAAAGGTGAGGACATGTGGCAGGGGTGACAGTAGCTCAGTTGGTAGAGCATTGGCCTTTGGGCCTGAAGGTCGTGGGTTCGAGCCCACCGTAAGACCTACTTCACGACTCCCGCTGATGACTGCTGTCGTTGTGTCCTTGGGCAAGACACTTAACCCTACTTTGCCCACAGCCCCAACTGAAAGATCTCAGCTCCTGTGGACTCACCACCTGCAGGAGGATCAGTGAGGGGCTGGTGCTGAGTGTACTGGGTACAGCTCTGACTGCCACCCCCCCCGACCCAGAAATGGATTAAGGGGAAGAAAATGGATGGATGGATGGAGGTGAGGACATTTGATCAGCCCCTTCTGTGCTTCAGTGTGGGCAGTTTCCTGTGGTCTATCATGAAACACCAATTCACTTAATGCAATATAGGAGAGTGCTTTATATTGACTTGTTTGTTACCTCATTAAGTTTAAAGTTTGAGGTGAGTATTGATTCAAGAGCCAAACCAGACAAATATTGGGGGGAAACTGTATCAACTGAAGTCTTTTTTCCCATAACAGGCTGCACTATCGACCGCGGCTTCAGTCTCATCATGAAATATTGATACATCTTCTAAAGGCCACGGTCATTATACTGGTGTTACCTCTAGACTTTGCAACCTTGTTGTAAATCCACCAAACATAAACGTTCAAGGTCAGCTGTGGCTAGAGGTGCATTATTACTTCTCATTCAAACAAATTCAAGTAATTTAGGGGGAATTAGGCTTCATTTACGGAGAAGTAAAAGCGCCATATAAGTGCATTATAGTTTAGTATAGTCACCTCATTGAACTAATTTGCTTTGAAACCGTTCAATGATGTCATGAGGACCGTTGCTTCTGAAGAGAGTAGATGATGATAATTCATTCACCGTGAAAAAAAAATGTTTCTGTTAACCTTTTACTTGTAGTAAATATAGAGAATAGTTTTAGATAGTCTCATGAAGTTTTTGACTTGTGTGTGCTCCATTTGGTTTTACTGTATTAAAGAACTAGATAGATGAGGCTGAGTGGTTTGCGTTTACAGGTTACTTCTCTGATACATCATTAAAATGTTTGTTAGTAAAATGTGCAAAGTGTAACGATTGAATTTGAAACAGATCAGATTCCATATAATAGCATTTTTGTCCCGGGGTCAAGAACTAGAATTGGCATTAGAAGGCATTAGACTACAGCCCAAGACAAAGTGACAAATTGGATGTTAGCACACACTAAAGCACCTTGTAACATTCTTTATAATTTCATCTCTACAACACTAATTTCGTTTTGGAAATAAATAGAGAAACATTCAAATGTTAATTAAAAAGACACCACATGGCAGAAATGCAAGTGATTTAAAGGAAGGATGAGAAACAAACCTAATGAGAAATCCTATGCTGTGCAGGTTTCATGTTAATTCAAAGGAAGGCAGTAAGCTTTGATTTCTGCTAAGAAGGTTCATCAAACAAACACATAACAAAGGAATAAAGCTATAGTGATGATTGGGGAGAAGGAATCCAGGACAGAAACATGCAAAGACGTTTTAAATCATAGTAAACATAGCAAGCTGAGTAAAATACAGAGGACCTTTGTGTTATGAATGCCTTAATAGCAACAAAACAGTGTTCAAACCTGAGTTTTCAGGGTGTTTGCTTTTGGAGGGATCTTCCATGTCGTCATCAGACATTTCCATCTCCTCCTCTCTTCTGATGCCCATCAGCTGCTCACTGTGCACGTTTCTAATCTCCTGAAAAGGCAAGTACAAAAGTTAAGCAAATTAATGAGTAAAAAAATAAACACTGATGTTTTAAGCTTAGTCAATTTTCCACATAGAGTATTACAGTTCAAAACAAGTCATCTACAGAAGCCGCCTGTTAATATAATAAAAAACAAACACACACACACTAGTAAAACCTGCGGTTACAACTTGGGACTATAGAGATGCCATACCTTTATATGACAACTAGTCAAAGCCAAGCCTAAAATAATAGGTCCCAGAATTCGCTATAGTCCAGAAGTTTGGGTACTCAAGATATTTTGAATATATGAAACAGATTGTTACAAAAGATTGAAGTTTATTGTGCAAGAAAGAGGCTAACCTCAGCTGCGATCATTTTTTTAAAACTTTAAACATGGTGACAAAAGATTAAAGGGCCTATTTTGTGACTCATAACAGAAGTGACTCTTTCTGACTGGAATGGGCCCTTTCTTCTGATTGAAGACTGGAGCACATCCTTGGACTTTATTACCCTTTTAATAAGTCAGCCATGACCTTGTTAAAAGAACGGCCGAAAAACACCTGGTGTAAAATGTGTGGAAGATTTGGATTCTCCAAATGCTTGGACACTTTACTAGTATTTATAATACTACATTATTTAATGGTTATAGCACACGGCAGAGAAAAGAAGAATAAACGGGACACAACCGTTTGCATTTGCTTAGATGTACTTCTCAATTACAGAGCAGCATCTCTACATCAATTTCACCTACCTGTTTTTCATTTACTGAACCACAGCTCTAAGAAAAGAAAACCTCAAAACTTACCAATCAAACAAAATCATATTTGGTCCATTTGACCCAGCATCATATAATTCCAGCATTTGTAGGTGTTAACATTTACCTGTGCATTGGTCTCGCAATGACAAACTCACCACACAGCTTGTGTATCTGGTCACCAGGAAGACAAGTCAGCGCTTTAAGGGTCATCATGTGGTAGATATTATTACCGTTTTATTACCGTCTATATATCTTGTCATCTTTACTTTAGTTGTAGTGACAATGTGTACTTACCACCCCCCTACCCCATGTATGTTTTAGGGAAATATATATGTACTATTATGAGATTTACGTGGGCATTACTGACTAAATAACTACTAACCTGTACTTGCTTGCGCCAAACGTCCAGGTTCTTGCGCTGAGCTTTGGTGAAATGGTCCCTTGCCTTTTGTTTGGAAGCGGCTTGGAATACAGACACAATCTGTTCAACTGTGGAGGTGCAGGAGGGGGGAGCATCCACAGGGGACAGGAGACAAAGGCAGGTGGGAAGGAGCAGAGTGTGAGAGACTGGAGTCAACTGCGGATTCCAACAACTCACCCTGGCGTGTGTCTGAGAGCTGCAGTATGATCCACTTACCATTTCACTACTGTTCCGTCCTGTGGAAAAATGCTCACACATTCACAACATTTCCCAAAAGTAATTTGAGATGGTAGATATAGGGTTTTAAATATAGTCTGGACTACGCTTTATGCATTTTTCATCTCAGTTTTGCAGAAATGGACGAAACAGCAAGAATGTATTGCTCCCTCAGCCACAACGTAAGACAGCCTATAGTCCATTTCGGAAAAGTGTGCCACGGACCATATTTCACACCTCAAAAGAGAAGCCTTTTTGCTGCTCTTCACAGCGCATCAGAGATCAACACTACACCGCGTAGGGCAGTTACTAAACGTTTATTCAAACTAATAAATGATATAATGACAGTATCTAACAATGTCCTGTTAGATACTGTTAGGGCCTGTCAAGTGAACCGTGTTATTGAACACGTAAACAGTAAGCGTGATTAGTTAGTTCCTTCCTAAAAACAGTGTTCAGATCTTAGAAAGCCTTTAAACTATGGAGCTCTTCCGGACGGATGAGGGATGGTAGTAATTTGTTTAACCCTTGTGCTATCCTAGGGGTCAAAATTACTCACCACAGATTATACTCAAAGAAAAATCCCTAAATTACGTTTCAAAGGGTTTAAATGAGCCAGGGCTGGTCAAGTTAGGAAGAGTCATTCAAATTCAGCTAAAAAGGTACTTAGGGATTTATTTTTTTCACAGTGGCTTTGACCTGAGGATAGAGTGGTAAAACAGAACTTCATTATACAATCCACTGTTTAGGGAGTTCTAATGAATCTACAAAACAACTAGATGGATTGGACAGACACAACAGGACTTAGGCTATAGATATAGACTTCCCTGTTAACTGTAAATTGATGAGATGTCTGGATGGTTGTGTGGGTGATATCTACACACTACATGTTTGGGCTTAGTCAATAACTACCTCCAGCTAAGTGTATATGTAATCTAACTGTGTGTAATCCTGTGTATTTGGTGAGAACATAAGTGAATCAATAGCGTCTTCCCAGAACCTTGTAATTTGATAGAGCAGATCAATGGTGAAGGCTGAGACGATAAGAGTCTAGAGACTAAAAGCTGTATGTAAGCGTATACTGTGGAGACAAAAAATATTTTTATACTTTTTTATAAGGTCTTACAAAACCCGAGGAAAATTATGTGGTTTTTTCTAGGACTTAAATAATTAATTAAGTTAATTGAATTAAGATTAAGATAACACTGCAAAAACCAACAGCAGGTCATTCAACTTTTGATAACAGAATGTTTTGTACTGGGAGATTGATTGACTGTTACAAATGTGATCCTTTGCACAGTCCTTTGAGGGATATTTGATTCAATTATAACTAATTCAATAATATATGTAGTATAACAATATAATGTTAATGTTACACAAATACTTTCACTTACCTTAATTACCAATAGATCTGTGCTGACTGTATTGATATTGTAAATTACCAAAAGAATTTGATACTTACAACATCCAGCAATTACACTTTTGGAAAAATACCAATACTAAGATGTTTTCACTTCTATTAAGCAAACAGCAGAACAAGGTACACTGCCTTTGTTGAATTATCACATCATATTTAAGATGGAGAATCTGACAGAATAACTCACATTGGCCCAGTATACCGGCCAGAGCGCTCTTGAACTTGTCCTTGGCCTCTTCCATTTCCTTCTCGTGCTGTGCTTTCTCGCTCATCAGTCGGCGAATGTGACTGTTGGACAGCTGGATCATGGAGTAGAAGTTGTTGGCGTTCCTACGATTGACTTCCCCTCGCTCCAGCCAGGTCACGAGCACCTGCACTGCCTCCGCAAAGCCCACATCATCTGGAAAGAGGAGGACAACAGTGAGGCAGTGGAATGGAGCTTTTGATCAGTAAACTAGATTTAATAAATATACAGTGGGGCACTTAAAAAGATGACAATAATTTGCATATAAATTCTTAAAAAATAAGATAATGTGATTTTCTGGAATTTTGTGCTCATTCTTTCTCTCATAGTTTAGGTACATCTATGATGAAAATTACAACAACTGCCACTAGTGGCAGAATAATTACTTTTTTGCCCCACTGTATTTAAGATTATGAATACTGTGTTGAGAGATCTTCCTCCATCTGTAACTCATATCAACTACAGACATGTTGCAGTCTCTGGAGGGTACAGTGCTCTGAAGCCATGCTCGCAAGACCACATATTCACTCAACAAATACCACCTTTATTGGAAAACGAGCTGCAGAAGGCTGCGTTGGAAAGCCAGAAGAGACTCCTAAATGAAACAAACCTGAAAACAGTAGCACCTCCAAAATCAGCAACAGACTGAAACAATGGTGGTCACTGCCCCATGTTTAAAGTTAAGGAATACTATAAATTATTTAAAGTTCTTTGTCCTCTAAATGTGTCCCAACCTGCAACGCCTCTAGGGCAACCTCTAAGAAGCAGTGGTCGCCACAATACAGCGCCATATCCAGATGTTAATGCTCGGTTTGGACAGGACTACTGGAGCTGGAGGATATCACCTGGAGCATGTTGTAGTGGTGAGAGAAACTGGAACCTGCCAAACCCAGGACCAGGATGAACCAGGGCTTATGATGCATGATAAAAACCTTTGAACTTGTCCCCCAGCAGGCTGCACTCATGGTCTGAATAGTGGACGATGGGAGGAGGGGAAGGCGGTCTCATCCGGTCCTCTTCTACCTTGCGTCGGTGGCGCTCCTCCCGTGCCAACATCCGCTGAAAACATTCCCACTCGTACAAGTCGTCTCTGGCCTGAGCAAAGTCTACATGGATACGCCCGCTGTCCTTCTTGTCGGTGCTGGAGCCCATGCGGATGCGGTAACCTGTGGAGATGGGTGAATGTTTTGATTGTGTAATTGATGACAAGCCTAGAAACACTAAATGTGTAGTATACAAGTAGTAGTAGTGTTTGTAGTCGTAACAACAAACACTGAAAAGAACACTCTAGCTTGATTGAATGATAAACAAATGCTTCATTGTTTTTGTGGTATTATTTTAGCTACATTTGAGCTGTTGAATAAGTACTGTAGCTCCTGAAGCTCATTGTCATGGACATGGATAATCAATAATTTTACAGATGTTTGCTGATTACTGCACTCACTCTGAGAAATTGGCCAATAAATCAGTGATTGGCAGAGAAAAAAAAAAAATTCTGGATGATCAGCCCCATGAATGTCAACTTTTCTGTAGCAGTGCAGTATATTAGAATTCAAAATGTGTTATTGTGACAAGCCAAAGTGAGATGATGACAAATGTCCACAATGTAAACTTGTGGACATAAAAGGGTGGTTTAATGGTTGACACTGACGCATCGCATACACACGCTTCAGTGCTTCCCATTTCCTACCTTCAACTCCATGTCAAACAGTCAAAGTGACATCTGGCCATCAGCTCAAAGCTGAAAGCTACTGATAAATAATATAGGAATATTAAAAATATGTTTGAATCAAGGGCAGCAGAGAGCGTTAAACCAAATAATATTTGCCTAGAGGATTGCAATGGCATTGTTTTTATCTAGGACACAACAACCCACAAATAGTCACATTGGAGCAGGGGAGGCAAAGGACAAGACGCGTTCTATTTAGACTTGTTATGTACTTCACAGCTGGGATTGCTTACAGTGCCGTCATAAAAAGTACAAAGCAAATAAAGTATATAGTGTTCCACACTGCGGAGTAGCACTGTCAGCTGATACACATGTTATTGATTTAATGAAACAACAACAAAATATAGTTTGTTGTAAAGTTTGATATTCCTGAGAACCACCTACATCTTTATCAGTAGAGATAGAAAGATATAACACCAACTGTTTTTCCTAAAAATATAGAAACTGTTTGAAATGGTAATATTGTGACAAGACCACAGCAGAATGACTCATTAAGCTCAGATTCCAGTTGCACTTCCCGTCCTCACACTGAATTCTAATGAAAACAAGGAAATTATGCCTATTTTTAAATTTAATGAGCAGAATGTGGAAACTGTCCAATGCTGTTTTACGAGTCCAGTGACAACAAGCTGCAGAACCAAAATCTGAGGATTCCATAGAATACTGTCAAAAGGGGTTTTAACACTGACCAAAAACTGGCCCTCGGCTTTTCCATGATTGCCTCACGCTGCTGTGTCATTTTGACATGGCTTTCAACACACCATTCAAACTAGTCTTTTTGCCAAGCCATGTCCAGTGTAACACAGCAGCCAAAGATAGCCGTTTAATCACTACGACACTAAGCACGTATAAATAAATAAAAAAACATTGCATGTTAAGTAACAAAACAACTTATAAATATAGATAGTATTATAGTTATATGATTATGAAATTATTCATATGTTCCATCAGCCACTTGTGACATGAATTTGTCACAGGCCAAATTTAATGTGGGTAAACACCAGTGGGGGCGGGACCCAGCTTAAAAGGTCAAACATGCGCTGAAATGCTTGCAATCTCACTCCTAGCCGGTGGGGGAGGACCCAGAAAGACAATTATTCAATGCTTTTGTATGGCGTCTTCTTTTCTCTGGAAAATGTCTTTACATGATGATTCAAAAGGCTCGAGGCCCAACTATGTGTCAATGCTGAGGGGAGTATTTTTTTTGGACCAGTCGAGTTTAGTCGCTATAGGGACTTTACAATCAAATGAATGGGGCTCATGCCACCTAACGCATGCGCAAATGCGTTTATCTAAATGTTCCTGCCCCACGACAATTTTGAAAAAGCCCACAGAAGGAAATCATGGAATTATCATGAGGTAAATGTGTCCTCTTAAAAATATGTTTGGAAATGTTAGTATGTAAATATGTGGATTTGGCAGTAATTTATAGTTAGCATTATTTTTGTGTGTGTGAAGAGACCTACCAGACAAGTAGAGTGCCCTGTCCACAGTGTACTCCTCTGCAAAGCGAATGTGGCAGAAGTTCTTTTTGCTTTTGCGGATGGCAATGATGGGTCCACATGGACCAAAGATCTCTTCCACAGTCTCTTCACTGGAGTTCTCTGGTAAACCGCCCACAAACACAGTCTTACACCCGGGAGGGCGATCCCTGGTGGCGGGAGGAGGGAGATCTGAAAAAAAAATGGGGTTTAAGGGTAGGGGTAGCCTGGTTTTACCATACCCTCGTACTTGTTTCGTACATCCCGGGAAAAAAAGATTTGACCGGAGTTTACGGATGGCAAAGGCCAGGCTAGGGTAGGGGTAAAACTGGACTCAGACTTAAATTTTAATAGCCACATTAAATCAGTAACATCAGCAGCTTTTTACCACCTAAAAAACATTGCCAGGATCAAAAACATAGTGTCTAAAGCAGACTTGGAGATTGTTATCCATGCATTTGTCTCCAGTAGGGTAGACTACTGCAATGGCCTGACCAGGAAGTACAACCACATTAGTCCGGTCCTCAGGTCTCTGCACTGGCATCCTGTGGCTCAGAGAATAGACTTTAAAACAGCTCTGCTTGTGTACAAGTCTCTCCATAGCCTCGCACCAAAATATATTAGTGACATGTTAGTCCCATATGAACCAGCCCAGACTCTGAGGAGCACAGGGACTGGACTCCTGTTAGTGCCCAGAGTCAGAACAAAACATGGGGAGGCTGCTTTTCAGATTCATGCTGCTAAAATCTGGAACAGTCTTCCTGAAGATGTGAGAGAGACCTCCTCTCTGACAATGTTTAAGACAAGGTTGAAAACAGTTCTGTTTAGCTGTGCATACAACTGAGGGATTTTATATCTTTATCTTTCTTTTTAATGTTCTGTGATTATTTATGATTTTAATGCTTTCTTGTTTTGTTCAGCACTTTGAGTTGCCTTATGTATGAATTGTGCTATACAAATAAACTTGCCTTGCCTTGCCTTGCCTTAAGGGTAACAGGTACTGCTTGTAATATTTTCATTTTAGATTACATTTATATCTCTGTTTCCCCATACATGAGGTTGACATGTACTATTCATAATTTATACTCAATTTAGTCACCGGTCTCCGTGTTCCAGGGTATCCATGGATTTATTTTGCGCAGTGTATTTTGGACGCTCTAAGACGCTTCACATGCATGGATCTATAATAAGGATGTAAATCGGTGACCGTTTAACCGGTGGTTGACCGTCACAGAGTTAACCGGTCAAAGCTGTCGGTTAAAAAAGAGAAAAAGGGGAGAGGGGAGGTCTCTTAATAAAGCGGTTTAAAGCCCTATTTGCACAATGTGACGAGCGGGTCCGTATCTAGCTGTGTGCGCCAAGTATCATTAAACTCCGGGCCGACTCTCACGCCGTTCGCACCACATATGCACGCACACATGCACACGTGCGCACAGACACACACGCACACACACTTCCTCCCCCTCCATTGATACGCAACATCCACACGCATCATCTCTCCCCTCTGTTGCCGCCTGCTAGTTGCACACTGGTGCGGGTCAGAACTACATTGGAGCTTATATTTACACTCACATACACACACACACACGCACACACACACACACATACACACGTACATGTATTGTACACACACACATACCGGTCTGTCGCGGCTCCTCTGTGTTACGGTGCCCAAAGGATCCTCGCAAATACGCGGCTCCAGTCAAACCACATAGAACATGTTTGTGCTGCTGGTCCTTGTCATTAGATCAGCTTCATACAGTTGTATTTAAACTTTAGCGGAGACCTGTGAGACGCGGCTCGTCACTTGCTGCTCTGACCATGTGAACGAGCCTTTTGCTTAAAAATGCTTTAACCCGCAGCACAGCATAATGGGAAGATTAAAACAGCAGTTCTCTGTGCGCAAAGGTGCCGAAGCTGTTGCGGGTTTTGGGGTTGCTGTCTCGCCTCTGATCCCGTAGAACGCAGAGCTGCACTTATGAAAAGTATGTGGCTCGAAATGGCTGTTATTTCAAAGAACCTGCAATATTTTAAACTACGCGGTTAACCGGATTCAACCGGTTAATGAGGCTCGGTGGTCGGTCATGAAAATTCATAGTTTCCCTAATCCCTAATCTATAATAATATCTGGATAGGGTATTACTAGCTTAAAGCTGTCCCACCCATGGGGACAGGGGGCACCAGTAGTCCTGCAGACTAAATTCACGTGGGCTACCCAGAAATGTCCCATATAACTCAATGTAAATTAAAACTGGTTGACCTCAGCTGACAGAGAACCTACAGCGTTCGCATTTTGTGGGGATTTTAGTGTCCCTTGTTGTCCTGAACTTTTTTCTTCTTAACTCCTTCAGTTTTCTTTCAATCCCCACTTTAATTCAACAAACTCAGCTTTTTTTAACGCTCTGGCTCCGCTCTGATCAGCAGGGCTGACTGGTCAAAGCGCGGCCGAGCCCCTCTGTGCACGTGCATGAGAGCCACACACGCGTATTTGGCTCTAAGCAACATGGGAGCTCGTCCACTGGGCAGAACCAGGAGGACCGGACGATGCCCAACTACGGGTGAGTTCCGCTAATCTTTCGGTCCTCCTGTATGTCCCATGCGTGACCGAGCACAAGCCATTCATTTGAATAGGGCGCCATCTTGGATCACAGGGGCTTGTTCACATTGCATACGTGTAAGATAAGATAAGAGTTCCTTTATTCGTCTCACAGTGGGGAAATTTCGTTGTTGCAGCGCACATACAGGACAGTAGTAAGAGCACACAGGGAGCACACAATATATACAAAATACATAGTAGCTATGTTTCTTAACTAGCATAACTGGCTGTAGATGCTGGAAATGCTTCAATACCAGTCAAAAAATATCTCCGTGTAGTAGTGCAGAGTTATGTACTGTACATATAGTGCAGGATATTGTTACTCCGTACACAGTAGTAAAAAACTACTGTAGGCCAAGCTTCCCTGGGGCAGAATGCCAGAAGTGAGGCAACCAGTATGTGCCATCAACTCCTCGGACCACCGGCAACTGAAACGCTAAAACACCAGACTCATACTTGGCAATGTGGGTAAAGTTTATAGCCCCCTCACTGGCACATGATGTTTCAAGTTACTTAAATGTAACTCAGCCGCCTTCACAGCAGCTTTTAGATCACATTTGTTTAAAAGGAGCGAAGAAATGCTGGTGGGACACATGAGCCACATTAGTCATGTTCACTACTGACCCCCAGTGGTTTGTTTATGTACAACTCCTTTACAAAGAAACTTTTGTGAACAAAATATGACAACATTTGAAGACTAGACCAACCCTAATCCAAGAAATATATCAGACTCCATATAATTGGTGTAGAGCCTTTAGTGGCTAAATGTGTTGTCCCTGGCAATAAAAGGCTTGGATTGCAATTGTACTGACTTAATTAAACTAGTACGTACCATACAACCTGTGGCTGATGCACTGTATCATTGGACTTTGGACATCAATCAAAAACAACTATATAAATTGTATATGCTTAGTTTATGATATATTAAAAACCAATGAAAAAAGAGCCACTTTAATCATCAACAACAGCTTCTAGCTCTTCATTTATGTGTCATCAGAACACATCTGTGCTTTGAGGAGTGCACCAGTCTGTGCTGAAGTCACATTCCAGGTTGATGGGTCACAACACAAAAGCAAAGCTATACAGAAGCAGAAGTTTTATCACTTCTATTTGATTTCGACAATTGGGTTAGAGAAACAAAGAAGACAGCCATGCAAATAAATACGAATTACAATGCTCAGCTGGAGGCTTATTTGATAGTGTGCGGTAAAGCTGAAAGCACAGCAGTTTGATATGATCCCCTCTGAACAGTATTGCATTTATTTAAGTTCGGAGACAGAAGCTCAAGCTTCTAATTAAAATGAGCCTGAAACAGGGGAGCGGAGGGGGATTGAGTAATTCTATCAACAAAAATATGATATTAGTTTTTCATTTTAAAAAATGTCTTAAAAATAGTCAGTGCACTCATCAAAGAATGAATCGCTTCTCATAGTCTTTTTGGTAGCACTAATAAATAGTTTATTGGACTTGTACTTTGGCATGTGTAAATAATGATGCAGCTGAAGGCGGTTTCTCAGCCTGGATCAGTTTGACCCAATAGTGACCACCCACTACTCTGCTGCACTGACACTGGCCATTACCATCCATCTCCTCCACAGCGTGAACACTTATTATGGTTTGAGGGCTGCTCCACTGTGAAGTTGCCACTCGTATATTTCACACAAAGGAATCTGTCAGTGCAAGTGCCACAACTTCAAACTCTACCACCTTTCCCTCAGTGTTTGGCGAGAAGAGCGTGTTTTTCCCTTACCACGATTCCACAGCTGTGCAATTCAATTTGAATTAACTTGTTTTTGATTCATTGTGACGACAATTATTAATGCACAATTAATTATTACAGTACATGATTTTGGAAGAAGATAACCGTGATTCTTTTAATGAAAGGAGAGATAAATCACCTGTAATAAATATAGATTAAATCCTATACAGGAATTAATCTGATTATAAGAAATAAGTTAGATGGTTCACATACAAAATACCAGGTAACAACCAACAATAATGGTATGTTCTCTGTAAAATTTGTAATTTAGTGCCCAGCATCCAGACAAAATGGCACATAGGGGTCTGAGGAATAAAATCATAGGGTGCTTGTTGAAAATTGCATCTTAGATGTCAACTCCATGTGTATAAACAGGAGCTTCTCATTACTACTCACTGGGGTTGGGAGGGAACAGAGTGCAGCTCTTGCAGTGGATGATCTCCTTGACGACGGGTACATCTGGTATCATTCCCAAACCAGTCATCATGTTCATGGACGAGTAATCGGTCGAGTAGTCAGTCGAGAAGTCTGTCATCAAGCCCAGATTTGGATCATAGTCTAGGGAAAAAAAGAAAACATTTTTAATACACAATAATTAAAGCTGGGGTACTTAACGCATTGACTGCCATAAACGTAAAATTATGTTAATTCAAAATACATTGTTTTTCACGCTTTTCCTCTCGGTATGTGTCCCCTGTATCATATACTGTATGTCAGGGTTTTGGCTGTAGACAGTGTTCTATTGAGCCAGCAGGTGGCAGCAGAGTTCTGTGGGTGTCTTGGTCAAAGATCGCTGTCTGAGCACTGTGTGCAGGGGAGAGAGGCGAAGCAGGCATGGAGGAATATAGTCAGGGAAAGGCTACATTTGGAGCCAGCTTGAGCAGTAAATGTGTCTAGAGCTGACAGAGACCATGTGGAGGGTCAGAGCAGGGTCAGAGCAGCAGACCATGTGGAGGGTCAGAGCAGCAAACCAGCAGTGCACCCCAAAAAAGCCACACAAAAGTGGGCTATTGCTAATACTATCACTGAGCCTGCACCAGGAGCCAGCAGTAAAGTCCAGTTATTGTCACAGCACTCGCTGGACTTAACAGATTGACACTCTGTAGATGTAACCACACAAACACACACAAACATGCGCACAAACGTACAAAGACACACGACAGCATTCTGTTGCACTTCAGGCTTCAAACATAAAGATATAAAATTTACATTTTTTGTCATGAATCAACAACAAGTGGGACACAATCGTGAAGTGGAACGAATTTTATTGGATAATTTAAACTTTTTTAACAAATAAAAAACTGAAAACTGGGGCGTGCAATATTATTCGGCCCCTTTACTTTCAGAGCAGCAAACTCACTCCAGAAGCGAGGATCTTTGAATGATCCAATGTTGTCCTAAATGACTGATGATGATAAATAGAATGCACCTGTGTGTAATCAAGTCTCCGTATAAATGCACCTGCTCTTTGATAGTCTCAGGGTTCTGTTTAAAGCGCAGAGAGAACCATGAAGACAAAGGAACACACCAGGCAGGTCCGAGATACTGTTGTGGAGAAGTTTAAAGCCGGATTTTGATACAAAAAGATTTCCCAAGCTTTAAACATCTCAAGGAGCACTGTGCAAGCAATTATATTAAAATGGAAGGAGTACCAGACCACTGCAAATCTACCAAGACCCGGCCGTCCCTCCAAACTTTCATCTCAAACAAGGAGAAGACTGATCAGAGATGCAGCCAAGAGGCCCATGATCACTCTGGATGAACTGCAGATAACTACAGCTGAGGTGGGAGAGTCTGTCCATAGGAGAACAATCAGTCGTGCACTGCACAAATCTGGCCTTATGGAAGAGTGGCAAAAAGAATTTGTTTTTTTTTTTTTTTTTTTTTTTTTTTTTTTTTATTATATTTTTTTTTTAATTTCTTGTGTAATTTTTAAAGTTTTAATGGTTTTAATTCTTTTGTGTGATTTTAATGTTTTAAATGTTTTAATCTTTTGTGTGATTTTAATGTTTTAATTGTGATTCAATTTGTGATGTGGACTGTGAAGCGCTTTGTGTTGCCCTGTGCATGAAAGGCGCTCTACAAATAAACTTTGATTGATTGATTGAAAGCCATTTCTCAAAGATATCCATAAAAAGTCTTGTTTAAAGTTTGCCACAAGCCACCTAGGAGACACACCAAACATGTGGAAGAAGGTGCTCTGGTCAGATGAAACCAAAATCTAACTTTTTGGCCACAATGTAAAACGATATGTTTGGTGTAAAAGCAACACAGCTCATCACCCTGAACACACCATCCCCACTGTCAAACATGGTGGTGGCAGCATCATGGCTTGGGCCTGCTTTTCTTTAGCAGGGACAGGGAAGATGGCTAAAATTGATGAGAAGATGGATGGAGCCAAATACAGGACCATTCTGGAAGAAAACCTGTTGGAGTCTGCAAAAGACCTGAGACTGGGACGGAGATTGATCTTCCAACAAGACAATGATCCAAAACATAAAGCCAAATCTACAATGGAATGGTTCACAAATAGACGTATCCAGGTGTTAGAATGGCCAAGTCAAAGTCCAGACCTGAATCCAATCGAGAATCTGTGGAAAGAGCTGAAGACTGCTGTTCACAAACACTCTCCATCCAACCTCACTGAGCTCGAGCTGTTTTGCAAGGAAGAATGGGAAAGAATTCCAGTCTCTCGATGTGCAAAACTGATAGAGACATACCCCAAGCAACTTGCAGCTGTAATTGCAGCAAAAGGTGCCGTTACAAAGTTTTAGCGCAAGGGGGCCGAATAATATTGCACGCCCCATTTTTCAGTTTTGTATTTGTTAAAAAAGTTTAAATTATCCAATACATTTCGTTCCACTTCACGATTGTGTCGCACTTGTTGATTCTTGACAAAAATTTTAATTTTTATATCTTTATGTTTGAAACCTGAAATGTGGCAAAATGTTGAAAGGTTCAAGGGGGCCGAATACTTTCTGTATAGCGCCACCCAATAGATGAATACTGGCCATTCTTTCTGGGATAGTTTGTCATGGGCTCTACTTTCAATATGTAAATGTTGACGTTTTTTGGAGTACTTTTTGAAATATCCGAGCAACACTTTGTGGATGTGGGTGTGTGTGCCATAAAACGTATTATTTTGCATCAAAAACACTTTCTCATAACATGTTGTTGCCGTTTTCTTTCATGAAAGATACTGGACATGTTTGAGGAGATGCTAAAGTTAAGCTAAATAGTGTTACAATCACTTTTCTGCAGGTTTGTCCGTTTTCACGAACACCTCATTTTCTAAGCTTTTTGTCTAAGAATGGAACTTTTTGTCACACTCCCCTCTTTTCAACTGGACATTACAGCAGAATAAAACAAGCTAAACACAAAATGTTTCTTTTTGCTGCTGAAAGTAGACAGTCCAGTCTTTCAGACTCTGGTTTCATTTCCCATAATCATAGCACACAATATTTCGTAAGTCTTGAAAATCAGTGAAGTCATCCGAAATGGCTGGCAGTCAAAGAGTTAACTTTCAAACTACCAAAAAAGTAACTATGAGAGAGATCGTATCACACTACACGCTACAAAAGGGTATCGGATAAAAAGGGCAAGCGTTCACATTTGTTGTTTCTAAACTGAATAAAACAGAAAGGACAACACATTTCCACCTTAATAGGTAACGAAGTTAAGAATCTGGAGTAATAGTAATAAATGCACACAATTTTACTTTTGATCAGAACAACTATATTTCCTAGATGGATTGGGAAGTTATAAAGAAAGAGCTGTTGAAGATTCTTACAATATTATTTCTATCGCCGTAAATAACTAAATGGCTTTGAAATGAAACAAAATGTATTCCCCGAAACACTGCCAGAACTATTGTTCAACTATAGAGCTCCGGACCCCACGTGACCAACGATGTTAGCGTCACCATGACGGCAGGAATAAACAGCGGCGCCAAGCTAAAAACAATGAATGACAGCGGTGGAAAATTGTTACTTTCGGAGTTCACAGTGTCATTTAATTACATTGATAAGGCACGGTATATTGCCAAACTCAACCGGTTGAATATTAGCGACCCTTACTTTGCTCCTGGCTTGTTTTTTAAAGGCCTAGATTTTGTTGAGAGTCCACCAAATCTGCAATACCCAGATATTTACAATTACTTAATTGATTTCCCATCCTTTTACACGGGGGATTCGCTGAAGGCTTACAAAAGTCTGGACGGATATAAATGGACACAATCCGGGTTTGTGTCCAATGTCCAGCTATGGCATTTGCCAACAAAAAGCTGTTTTGTGGTGACTGGAAGAGTAAGTACACACAGTGCGATCTGTCATCGCTTGCATGCTAAACACCCGTTTCTGCGCTAAGCTAATATAAAAGTCAACTGCTTTAACAGCTACTGTTAATGTTGTCACAGGTAAATCATTCACAAAGACTCAACAGCCCTTCACTGAAGCCATGGGCAGTTGTCAGATGTGACGGTGCAGTGCTAGGAGCCCACTGTAATTGTACAGCGGGACTTGGAGAGTGTTGTTCCCATGTAGCGGCTGTGTTGTTTACCTTGTGGCAGCACAATCAAGAAAGGGGAAAGGAAGAATCCTCCGTAACATCAAAAAAGTGGCAGATGGGACAGACCGAGTGAGACTGCTATGAAAAAGGTGGAGTACCTACAGGGAAAGGATATTGTGTTCAACAAATCCCAAAAGTTGAAAAAACAGAGTTTGTCTGAGTCGACGACTTCTGCAAACCAGTGTGTGTCCACTGCTGACACCTAGTGAACAAAGCCAGCTCTACAACAACATCGCCAATTGTTCAAAAGAGGGGCGAAAAATAAAGCCAGTGGTCCTGTCTCTTGTTAGGGAGCACGCTGCATCTTATGTACCCAAAGCAGTTGTTTTAAATCTACCTGTACCCCTCACCTCTCTTTATGACAAAGAACTCAGAGATGCCAGTGTAGGAGTTGCAGAAAAGAGCTGATACTGTATTTCATCAGCTATCAGTAACTAAAGAACAGGTGATGTATGTTAGAAACAGTTGCAAGTGTGGTGTTCAGTTTGAAGTCAGTGATCAATATGTTAGTAATCAATGTTTTGCTTGCAGAGTGAGATTGTTGAGGTGGAAACCAGAGGTCAGGCTAAATCTAAAATGTGGTTTGAGCAGAGAAGTGGTAGGATTACTGCTTCAAATTTCAAAGCAGCCGTAAGATCAGACATGCAAAAACCATCAGTGTCACTCATTAAAAAGATCTGTTATCCACAATCATATATGTTTTCAACTGAGGCAACAAGGTAGGTCTAATTAGTATATATACATTATGTTACCAGATAATAAGTATTCTCTTATGTTCAGATATGGCTGTGAGAATGAAAAGAAAGCCAAGAGGAGTTACCAAACTCAACTTTGTCTTAAACACTCAGACGTCCAGGTTGAAGATGCTGGCTTCACCATTTCCACAGGGCACCCCTATGTTGGAGCCTCACCAGACTGTTACATTTCATGCAGCTGCTGTGGTTCAGGTGTAGTTGAAATTAAGTGCCCATTCCGTGCCAAGGATCTTACAG